TCCCTCTTCTCCCTTTCTCCTGATTGCACAGATGAGGACGACGGCGACACAAAGACATTTTTACTTAATCGCAATGTGACAATCAAGGAGGGTGTGAACGCGGAGGAGGAGTATAAAATATGTGAATTTCTTGGAAGGTTAGTAATTGTTGTTGCAAAATAAACCGTTCTATTCTCGTTTCAGGCAGGCTCGGTCTCCTTAATAGGCACTGACGAGCAAGGGGACGTCTGAAATGGCTCTAAAGTCGATCACGAACTGCATGGACGGATGTTATTCCTTCAGCATTCAATTAGTAAAAGCACAAATCGCTTTAAAGACTAAGCAAAATAGTAAAATTAGCATATTATCGCATAAGAGTTTTGGAATTAAGGAGGCATAAGCATTTTTTATTTACTTCACTCTTTTAATAGCAACATTTGGAATGTAGAGCATAGTTTTCTAAACTCACAATATTTTACAAGTTTTCGCGCAAAATTTTAACAAGTTTATTTGTCTGCACCCCAAAAGCAAGGAATCGTTGGTCTGAACGCGAAACAAGCGCACACCATTTATGAACCAGTAATCACGGTCGGAACCGTGGAGGTGGAATGCCACAAGCGAATGAATTTGTGTATAAAGTAGTCTATTTGACTGACTTTTTGAGTCCTGCCGCCACTGTGCATCAAAGCAACGGCAAGTAGGAAAAGTGTCACAACTAGATTGTCACAAGCATGAAGCCAATTTTAGAGCCCAAGACCTCTGGGCGGATCATCAGACCGCTTATGTTCATTATTTACAGTACTTATTGGTAGGAATAAGATAACATTAAAACTTGTCTGTATAATATTAGTTGGCACAATTAGTTACCTGTCCCAGACAAGTAAAGAACATTCGCCGCTGCCGCATCATAGTCGTTTTGCTGGCAAACTTGATAACTCTATGGAAACAGTCTCGTTCCCTTTGCAGTGGCAAGTTCGGTGACGTAAATAGATGCGAGGAGAGGTCCACGGGCTACGAATTGGCAGCTAAAGTTGTCCCATACAGCTCATTGGATGAGAAGGAGGGCGTGATGAACGAGGTGGAGATTATGTGCCGACTGCGTCACCCCCGACTCATTCAACTCTACGATGTCTTCATCCAAAGCGATCGGATTACCCTCATCATGGAGCTGTGAGCCTCTAATGCTTCATTTGTTTGCGAGTTTTCACATCTTAGCATAGCTATACATCTAAAGTCGAGATGGGCTCTAAA